AAAAAAAAAATATCTTGAGGACTTACTTATTACACAAAAAATTATAAAGATACAAAAAAACTAAACAAAAAGGAGAGGCAACTCTTACATTTGTACCAATAATACTTCTAAATCCCAAAAAGTCAAGATATGTCGTTGTAGCTGACCCCATTAATAATCCTTCTAAATCCCAAATAGTCAAGATATGTCACAGTAGCTGACCCCATTAATAATACTTCTAAATCCCAAAAACTCAAGATATGTCAGAGTAGCTGACCCCATTAATAATACTTCTCAATCCCAAACAGTCAAGATATGTCAGAGTAGCTGACCCCATTAATAATTCTTCTAAATCCCAAATAGTCAAGATATGTCACAGTAGCTGACCCCATTAATAATACTTCTAAATCCCAAATAGTCAAGATATGTCAGTGTAGCTGACCCCATTAATAATACTTCTCAATCCCAAATAGTCAGGATATGTTAGAGTAGCTGACCACATTAATAATACTTCTCAATCCCAAATAGTCAAGATATGTCAGAAATCCCAAATAGTCAAGATATGTCAGAGTAGCTGACACCATTAATAATAATTCTAAATCCCAAATAGTCAAGATATGTCACAGTAGCTGACCCCATTAATAATACTTCTAAATCCCAAATAGTCAAGATATGTCGTTGTAGCTGACCCCATTAATAATCCTTCTAAATCCCAAATAGTCAAGATATGTCACAGTAGCTGACCCCATTAATAATACTTCTAAATCCCAAATAGACAAGATATGTCAGAGTAGCTGACCCCATTAATAATTCTTCTAAATCCCAAATAGTCAAGATATGTCACAGTAGCTGACCCCATTAATAATACTTCTAAATCCCAAATAGTCAAGATATGTCAGGGATATGTTAGAGTAGCTGACCCCATTAATAATACTTCTACATCCCAAATAGTCAAGATATGTCGTTGTAGCTGACCCCATTAATAATACTTCTAAAACCCAAATAGTCAAGATATGTCAGAGTAGCTGTCCCCATTAATAATACTTCTAAATCCCAAATAGTCAAGATATGTCGTTGTAGCTGACCCCATTAATAATACTTCTAAAACCCAAATAGTCAAGATATGTCAGAGTAGCTGTCCCCATTAATAATACTTCTAAATCCCAAATAGACAAGATATGTCAGAGTAGCTGACCCCATTAATAATTCTTCTAAATCCCAAATAGTCAAGATATGTCACAGTAGCTGACCCCATTAATAATACTTCTAAATCCCAAATAGACAAGATATGTCAGAGTAGCTGACCCCATTAATAATACTTCTCAATCCCAAATAGTCAGGATATGTTAGAGTAGCTGACCCCATTAATAATACTTCTCAATCCCAAATAGTCAAGATATGTCAAAGTAGCTGACCCCATTAATAATAATTCTAAATCCAAAAAAATCAAGATATGTCAGAGTAGCTGACCACATTAATAATCCTTCTAAATCCCAAATAGTCAAGATATGACAGAGTAGCTGACCACATTAATAATAATTCTAAATCCCAAATAGTCAAGATATTTCAGAGTAGCTGACCCCATTAATAATACTTATCAATCCCAAATAGTCAAGATATGTCACAGTAGCTGACCCCATTCATTATACTTCTAAATCCCAAATAGTCAAGATATTTCAGAGTAGCTGACCCCATTAATAATAATTCTAAATCCCAAATAGTCAAGATATGTCACAGTAGCTGACCCCATTAATTATACTTCTAAATCCCAAATAGTCAAGATATGTCAGAGTAGCTGACTACATTAATAATACTTCTAAATACCAAATAGTCAAGATATGTCACAGTAGCTGACCCCATTAATAATACTTCTAAATCCCAAAAAGTCAAGATATGTCACTGTAGCTGACCCCATTAATAATAATTCTAAATCCAAAAAAATCAAGATATGTCAGAGTAGCTGACCCCATTAATAATACTTCTAAATCCCAAATAGTCAAGATATGTCAGAGTAGCTGAACCCATTAATAATACTTCTAAATCCCAAAAACTCAAGATATGTCAGAGTAGCTGACCCCATTAATAATAATTATAAATCCCAAATAGTCAAGATATGTCAGAGTACTTCTAAATCCCAAAAAGTCAAGATATGTCAGTGTAGCTGACCCCATTAATAATACTTCTAAATCCCAAATAGTCAAGATATGTCAGATTAGCTGACCCCATTAATAATACTTCTCAATCCCAAAAAGTCAAGATATGTCAGAGTACTTCTAAATCTCAAAAACTCAAGATATGTCAGAGTAGCTGACCCCATTAATAATACTTCTCAATCCCAAAAACTCAAGATATGTCAGAGTAGCTGACCCCATTGATAATACTTCTCAATCCCAAATAGTCAAGATATGTCAGAGTAGCTGACTCCATTAATAATAATTATAAATCCCAAATAGTCAAGATATGTCAGAGTAGCTGACCCCATTAATAATAATTCTAAATCCCAAAAAGTCAAGATATGTCAGAGTAGCTGACTCCATTAATAATAAATCTAAATCCCAAATAGTCCAGATATGTCAGAGTAGCTGACCCCATTAATAATAATTCTAAATCCCAAAAAGTCAAGATATGACAGAGTAGCTGACTCCATTAATAATCCTTCTCAATCCCAAATAGTCAAGATACGTCAGAGTAGCTGACCCCATTAATAATACTTCTCAATCCCAAATTGTCAAGATATGTCAGAGTAGCTGACTCCATTAACAATAAATCTAAATCCCAAATAGTCCAGATATGTCAGAGTAGCTGCCCCCATTAATAATAATTCTAAATCCCAAAAAGTCAAGATATGTCAGAGTAGCTGACTCCATTAATAATGTCAGAGTAGCTGACCCCATTAATAATACTTCTCAATCCCAAATAGTCAAGATATGTCAGGGTAGCTGACTCCATTAATAATAATTCTAAATCCCAAATAGTCAAGATATGTCAGAGTAGCTGACCCCATTAATAATACTTCTAAATCCCAAATAGTCAAGATATGTCAGAGTAGCTGACCCCATTAATAATACTTCTAAATCCCAAAAAGTCATATATACAACTTACAACATACAATATAGCAGTTTTTGTATACAAATAGTATACAGCAGGCGTTACCAACCAATAACATTACTTCAAATGTAATAACCAATATAAAACAAATTGCACATTGTGTATGAATAACATTATATCAAACAATGTACTTTACTGTACAATTGTCTCATAGCAAAAATGTCACAATGAACAACAATAACAAAGTTCCATATACTTTACACAACAATAATAAATTTCTACATACTGTACAAATATCATACTGAACGATTAACTTAACTTCATGTTATGGAGATATAACACACGAAAACGGAGTGTACTCTAAATAAACCGCGAAGCGATTTATGATGAGATTACACTCAGTTTGTTTGTGTTATAGCTCCATAACATAAAAAATATATTCAAGTCAATCCTTATAATCTAATCTACTATACACAATCCCTGTGGAAATCCACTTTTATTGATGGACATTTTTCTCTTAGAAATTATTACGCCCTGTATCCGCCAATCAAAAGCGACGTTACAAACGTTTAAATAACAAATATAAAATATAATCCTGACTTTCAGACTATTGAGATGGCGTGTGATACACTTAAAAAATGTACTTGTATGTTATGTATAAAATACTTCCCAGGCCAAAATGTCTTTCCTGTTGGGTATCGCACAACCGTAGCCTAGTACCGCATTCCTTACAACCTTTCTGGTCCAGGTATTCAGATAACAACGCGAGTTCAACCACTCGTCTACCCTGCGACCAGGTTAAAAAATTATTGGCATATTCGTGATCACTAGTATTGGAGGGATCCTCATCGGACGTCGGTGTCGGGTCATCAGTCAAATTGTCAATACATAGTATTCTGATAACGTCACAACATCCGGGCTACTAATAGTTTCAATATGCAGTCGCCATTTTCTGGGTCAAACGATTAGCTACGGTTCAGCGCACGGAAAAGTAAACAAACACCTGCTTACGATGACTTAGAGGCCTCAGTAGTCAGCGTCTCTTCAATGTGTGAACGAGTGTCACTTTGTTTCGTCGCATTGTCGTGGTCTAGCAGTTGATATTGGACATTGTTGTTGTTATTATTGTCAGTTAATGTGTTTAGGTTACATTTAAAACGGCCATTTTTACGTCGGGCTAGCTTGCGTGTCGGCCATCACTGCCACGACGTTGTTTACAACGTTACGACAGCTTTTTTCCCCACACTTTCGCAATTGGAGATTTTCAACGCAAGGGTTTAAATGAAATCTATTCAAGGGAAGATAATATAACAACATTGTCGAAATGGTAATCAGGGGCAGGTGACTCTAACACTGAAAAACGACAGTGGAATTCTTTAGTGTTTTGCTCTGCCCGGGACGGGGATCCTTAACTCAGTCGACAGTGTTTATACGCAAAGTTACAAGTATATACAGAGCTTAATGTGTCAAGCTTGTTGATTCTGACTAATTGGTTTTTACAGGTAAATCTGACAGGTATCCTTTTATCCTTTATCATCTCCTGATATCACAAGATATGTCAGAGTAGCTAACTCCATGTTTATGTCGCTGATTAGGAAATTAATTCAAAATGATTATAAATGGTATACAAAATTTAGTGGTGAGTGTCCTGTTAACAATATATATTCTATGTACAAATATCACCCTGGTAACAAAACTGCCACTTCCTAACAGACTCAGCAAGCAAGAACCCATTCAGTAGAGCATAATAGCACTAAACCAGAGGTCCTGGGTTCGACTCCTAGCGGAAAACATTGACAAAATAACACGTAGGGACCAGTTGATATTGACAAATATACTCAGGGGGAGTATATGTCACCCTGGTAAAATACTAGCTGCTTCCTACCGCTAGTGAGAATTTCGACAATATTATTCGAAAATAACGACCTTTGTTACACAAATATAGGTTTGAGTGATACGTTATGCTGTTGTAGGTTTTACACTTCGAGGTGAATGATGGCATTCTATATAAAACTACTGAACTCTACACCAATGACGGAAGTGTTCTCTCCTCATCTACAGTAGCCTCCCTTTATGGAAATCAAATGTTGATTGGAACCATCTGTCACAAACTACTGCACTGCGAGGTGAGGACGCTGTGAAAGTCTTTATGAAGATTCCAGGACCAAGGTGCTCAGACCAGTGGTAACAATGAGGAAATGTTTAGGATTCAGTTTCAGAGAAATATCAAATATATTTTCTAAAGTAATTTTTTCACCTTAAAAAATCAATAGTATCCAAGTTTTGTACATTTTTAGGGCTTTACTGAAAATTGTGTTAGAATATAAACAAAATAATAAGTCATCTTGTTTCTAATGAAAAAAATAATGATTATCAAAGAATCATTTTCACATTTATTTCTACATACATGTATACTGGTAATGATATACTTTAATATAAATCATCAGTACATACATTCTTATATCGATAATTTGTGATTTTATTTTCATTCACAAAAGCATTAGAAACATTCTACTGTTTAACAGTATTGTAACCAGAAGCAATGAATGCAAAGGGAAATACTTCAAAATATTGTCTGGTTTGAAAGTGTAATCAAATATTGTCAGGTTGTATTAGAGCATTGTGCCATTTTGACTTTAATACACCTGTATACCCTTATTATTCTGTGATGAATTTATTAGATCTTGCCCCAGATCCATAGATAAATAACAGGGAATCATTGTCCCTCCTCTGTACTCATCTTTAAATGTAAATGACATAGAAATTTTTTAAATAACAATTATGAGTCAATATGCTTAATGTTTATCTACTTATGTATGCTGACCATGCTGTGTTATTCAGTGAAAGTATAGATGGTCTACATAAAATATTGGACTCTTAGTTATTATACTGATAAATTGAATTTAAAACCAAATGATACAAAAGACAAAAAGTTTTGTCTTCAAGGAGGGTGGTATTTTACAAGCCATGTGAAAGATATTTTTCTAAAGATGTATCTGTTGAAGTACTGTAGATATTTCCTTTGATTATTTATAATTTTGTTTCATTATGTCTTCTCTCTTCAAGCTTGTTGTACAACTCTTGTCTGTAAGGAATAATATGACTCAGGCATGGCCTGGAGAGAGCGCAGCTCGTACATTTGTTTTGATAGTATACTATAATTTTTGAATCATAACATTACCCATTTTAATACATACAAAAGCCTGGAGAGAGCGCAGCTCGTACATTTGTTTCGATAGTATACTATAATTTTTGAATCATAACATTACCCATTTTAATTCATACAAAATTTACCTGTAATTGTTTTTTTTTTATAATGTACTTGAATCTGTTGCTGGGCAAAATCATTCATTTTGAAAACATGCATTGCCTGAAACGAGAGAAGCGTCTAAATGCCGTTTTTTTCAATTTTATTTTCTAAATAACATTGTTTAAAATATTATCTATTTATTCGTTTTATAGCGATAAATGTAAGATTAATAATAAATAAAGAAAAGCATTCGAATGAATTATGCAGTTCAAGATAAAACACAAATGCATTTGGTACTGTTGCGTTTAATTGCCCCGTCTATGGCCTCAGCGTAATGTTGCGGAAAGAGTGAGGCCCAGTAGAGGGAATTCATATTTGAAGATGTATTGTTTATCAAATGTAACTGTTATTATATGTTATTATAAAAGTTAAGTATATTGGTGATTAAATTCCAATTTTATTTTCCGACATGATATACTTTGCCTGATCCCTCAAAATCGTGTAAAAAGAGAATCACAATAGCCCAAACATATCCGGATTTCCGTCTTGGTTTGTTGGTTACTATATACTTCCGGTTTGGGTGGAGAGAAGAAAAGACTGAAAATTTGAAAGAAGCTTCAGTTTCTAAAATTTTTAATGTCATGAATTTACATAACCACAGAAAAAAAAAAAGATAAAGAGATATTTTTGAGAATGTGTAGCAAAGCTAAACAGCATCGTAAAAATAGGACCGCGGTTACTCTATACTAGCTACTTCTGTGACGAAGGATTTTGGAAGCATAGTATTTCGACGTTACCATGACTTCAATTGTTCGTACACATGTTACCGGAAAAGAGCTTCGCTTCTTGCGCCTTCGGTGCAAGAAGAGCTGCGCTCTTATAAAACAACTAAATAATCTTGGTAAATTTGTGTGTTATGCCACTGCCAGGCATAACAGCTACCATTATCATTATTCTGTTATATTGTAAAGTACATTTATGGATTGCATGCACTAGTAAAAGAAACGGTATTGTTACACACTGTTCAGCCTGTGTTATCTGATACAGTACATTGACTATGTTTAACACATGTATGTTATCACATTGTAAAACTCTCATGAGCTGAACTGCTTTGGGAGTAAACTGAATTGAAAAATCCCATTGTGATGTCAGAATTCAGACTATAAACATTATGATGTTGCCCCATGATGATAAACATCCACGACAATGATGTCAGAATGTCATCTACCAGAGAGAAAAATTTGTGTCACTGATTTATATGCATATATCCCTGATCATGTGATAAAAAGGATTTTAAATTTGCTTTGTTTCATATGAGATTGATGAAACTCATCCCAAGGTTTACTCTTTGCCATGCCTTCTGCTTAAACAAATCCTACCAGACTCGTTTCCAAAATGTTTTATGCAATGGAAAACTTATTTAACTCAGTCACCCCTACATACTTAAACTAGACATGTCCAGTCTTTCATCGAGTAAGGTTCATATTTGACTTTAGGGGTAAATGTATTAAGTTGGTATGTTTCCTCTATTTTGTCGTTACATGTATTAGCTATTACAGAATACAATCTATGTATGTTTTTCTTTTTAACACAAGGCAATCTCCTCCTACATATTCCGACTGATCTCTTTGAAACTTGATATGAAGTTGTGTCTCCCATAAAAGAATTTTGATTCGACAATTTTCCAAGTTATTGCCCTTTGGTTATTTCAGTATTTGATTTTTGTCCGGCAATCTTCTCTTACATTTTTGCAATGGATCTCTTTGAAACTTGGAATACATTATAAACATGATATGAAGTTGTGTCTCCCTTAAAAGAATTTTGATTCAAAGATTTTTGCTAAAGTTATTGTCCTTTGTTCATTTCAGTATTTGATTTTTTGGCTGGAGATTTTCTCCTACATTTTTTATAGCATGTCAGCTAACCACTCTTAGAATGATGCAGATCTTATTTCAATGTAAGAAAGTATATAACACTATATGGCATTCGACGGGCGTATTTTGTTCCGCCCGGCGGTACTCTTGTTCAATATTTCAAAAGAAAAATCAAAAGCTAGCTTCAGAGAAGATTCTGACCATCCATGATTTTCCCAAAATTTACAGTTCATCTGAAGAACATTTAGAACCCTACTCCCTCTGAGCATCTGATTTCAAACAAATTGTCTATGTATGTAAGTAGCATTATAAGGACCAAAGGATCAAATATTGTATGAAGGAATGATGTCATCCCAGATTGTCTTATGTAAGTAACATCCTAAAGACCAAACAATCATTTATTGAATAAAGGAAGGATGTCACGAGTCCAACAGGACACTTGTCATGGAAGGCAGTAACTGCCAGTTGAAGGTGGGGGAAGGGTGTAAGAAAAATTGTGCTAGATTTGATGGAGGGATATCGGGTATAGAGTCTAAAAAGTAGGTCACCTTGACCTTTCCTTTGTCATTTTCTATGAACTTTGACCTTACCCTTTGAAAACTTGTATGGAGCATAACTCCTATTCATTCTGTACTTCAGTATTTTTTCAGGATCATAAACCTAATTTAGTTTGATGGCAAAGTGCAGTTTACAAAACGTAGGACAGTGTGATATATGTTTTGACCTAACACAATGAAAAAGTTTGTCTGAAGTGTATCTTCTTTACTCTAGCTTTCTCCTGGAGCAACAAAATGCTAATACATCCTGATATGATAGAATTTACTGTTCTAAAACTAAGCTACTGTGAGTGTTATTTTAACCTTTAACCCGACTCGATCATTAGTAGTAAAATTTGTCATATTCTGTCAAAAAAAATATCTCTGCAGTCCACCACCATCTGTTGTGGAAAATTGTGGTGTTATGTTAAGGAGTTGGACAGTACAGAAATTGTCAAGAAAATGGAAAAAAACCTTTCAAGGGGCTTTGAAATATATGGTGGTAAGGAAGGGAGCTACTGAAATGAGTGCTGTTATATCAACATTTTACTATTAGTGGCCATCTACTTGTTACATATGTATAAATACAAAAATGCTAGTACAGTTCATACTTGATACTCAGGGGTTACGCTCACTTTTGCTCTCTGCACTTCTGGAATATGTTATAGCAAACTTGAAGGCACACGGTTAGCTATTTGACTGGTTTCGAGGAAATTATATCTTATATCTTACCAATCACTACGCTGAAAACTGTCCTTTGAAGATAACAGGAGTACACTCAATCAAGACAATCAATTGTACGGTGTTACCCAATCATGAAATTCTTTTGATGTACATCGATCATTGAGTCGCACTAGTTTTCCTGTCCTCAAGGTGGCATACTCTGAGCCTTCAATTTTAATTTGCTAAGACAATTTTTTTTATTCCAAGGGTGCATAGAGCGAAAGTGAGCTTAACCAATGGAACATTGCAAGTGAGTACAGGGTAGACATGACTGACGTGGAGTTGTGATTTTTATTATTTCAATAAAAGTTGGTACGTTTTTAATCGGCATTATGGGACAGATGGAATAAGCCAAGCAAATGAGTTCCTCATTCAGCTGATTACATGTAGAATGAGATTGTACTGTAAATCATAAGTCAGTTGAAATTCAGATTTGAAATCTTTATTTCCAAATGACAGCAGATTTATTACCTTATCACAGGGAAAGGGCTTGTTATAAGTTGTTCAACTTGTGCCCAAGGGCTTGTTATAAGTTGTTCAACTTGTGCCCAAGGGCTTGTTATAAGTTGTTCAACTTGTGCCCAATCCCTTTGCTAATTAAAGAAAGCAACAAAATATATTTAAATGAAAACAATCTCATTCTGATATAAAACAAAGTGAGAAAAGATATGAAAATTTGACATATCTATGATGATTGTTTTATTTTCAATTATTATTATTTGTGTAATTTACATATAAATGTAAAAACTCATTGTTTTGTTATTTGTTTACACTTAACCTAATATAAGGTGAGTGAAATATGTTAGACAAATATGTATTGAAGTACATTAAATGATTAAATACATTATCTTATAAAGTTAAAAAAATGTATTAATGTTTGTGATTTAGCATAATTTTATATAAGTTTACACCTGCTAGGGATATTATCTTTATTAGCTATTGTTTGTGT